TAGGGCCAGTCCATAGGACTAACTTTTCTTGCGGAGCTCCTCTTCCTTTCTCTCTTCACCCTAACATGCCTGCTCCACGATCGACGCAACATTCGCGAGCTGAAACATGTCTTGGACCTTCTTGGCTCTAGCTATTGGGTGCGTCAATCCTGGTAGGGCTACGTGGGCCATCTGACCGAACAGCCCGCACTGACATCTGTAGCGTAGATTGAGCACATTGTCGACGCCGAGCAGAGTCCTGGAAACACAAATTAGATTACACGTTATCGGCAATTGTGATGGTGAGACATTTTTACGTGGTCGGCCCCTTTTCCCCCGGCTTTTCCGCGTTTTAATCGGGTCGTCCGGGATTCCCGCCGGAAGTTTCCTCAGCATATCAAAGGGCACTCTCACCGGTTCCTTGTTTTGGCCGATTAACGTTACCAGGGCACTGTTATCGCTCGTCGCTATCACTCTATATGGGCCTTCCCAAGGATTCGTTAGCTTGGGGTTGAGTGACTGACGTTCGCTGGGAATTTTTAGGTACACCCGATCACCAATGTTCAGCGGTGCCTCGCGCACTTTCTTCTCCCTATCATAGTACAACTTCATTCTTTTTCGCATCTTGTCGTTTATCTCGACTGCGTAATCCCGTGCTATCTGCGTTCCTACAGCCACCTCTTGCACGTAGCTGTCCATGTCCACCATGTACTTGCTTACGTGAGGCTCAGGGACTGAGTTCCATGGCACATATGCGTCGAAACCATGCAGTAAAAAGAATGGTGATTCTCCTGTTGACTCATGAGCGGTAGTGTTGTACGCGAAAACGCAATAAGGCAATATTTTGTCCCATTCAGTTGGAACTTGCACCTTTTTCCGCAACATTTTGATGATGGTCTGGTTAAACCTCTCCGTTAATCCATTTTCACGGGGGTTGTACCCTTTAGTGAACACATGTTCTACTCCCAGGATTTTCTTCAGTTCTTCCATCAGCTTATTGTCGAACTCTCCTCCCTGATCGGAGAGTATACGTTTTGGCTGGCGGCATCCTTCTGCGATCCACTTTCCGAAAAAAGCTTTTGCCACAGTTTCTGCCGCTTTATTGGGTATCGCGTACGCACCTCCATATTTCGAGAAGTGGTCAACTATGGTGAGTATGTACCGGTTGCCACTGCTAGTCGGTCCCATTTCGAGTATGTCAATTCCCACCACTTCATAGGGCTTCGACGTACAAATGGGTTTGAGCGGTGGAGTAATAGTCGGTTGAGCGTTGTGACACAAACATTCGCGGCACTCTTCTGACCATTTGGCCACATCTCGGCTCAACGTCTCCCAGAACACCCTTTTGGACAGCTGCCGTATTAGCTTTCTCGGCCCAAAATGTCCAGCTAGTAGGCCAGCATGCGCCTCGTCAAAAACCTTTTTCCGCTGAGATGGAGGGACAACCATTCGGCGCTGCTCGTTCTCCATTAGAACGAGATTCCCATGGTCCATCGCGAAATCGGCGACTTTGTAATTACGGGCACCTCCAGGGAATTTCACGTCATTATCCAACCTTCCTTTTTCCAAGTCAGCTATGACTTTCCCGTATACGGAGTGCTCTCGCAACTCTGCTGTCCATTCTGGTTCTCTCTGAACCGCTCCCACAATAAGCTCATTCGGCATGGGCTCTTCGATGGATAGATCTTTCAGGGGTATTGCTCCGCGACTTAAGGCGTCTGCTACCTTGTTTGCGGGCCCTTTCAAGTAGATCATCTTCACATCGTACTTTTGTAGCTCTAAAGCCCAGCGAAGAATTCTGGCTGACACATTGCTCCTCTTGAATAGAGCTGTCAATGCCTGGTGGTCAGTAAATACTTCGATGCGGAGGCCATACACGAACATGTGGAATTTTCGCAGCGCAAAAACTACTGCAAGCGCTTCAAGATCTGTAACATGGTAATTTTTCTCGCACTTGGACAGACCTTTAGACGCAAAGAATATGGGGTGGAGAAATCCATCTTCTCCCTCCTGACTCAATACCGCTCCTAAGCCTTCTGTGCTAGCGTCGGTATGGATTTTGAATGGTTTCCTCCCGCTCCTTGCAGCTTCTATGTCTGGCTGTGCGAGTACGGGAGCTTCCGTTATAATCGTTTTCAACTTCTCGAATGATTCCTTCGCAGAAGGCGTCCAGACAAAAGCCTTCTTTTCCGAAGTCATCTCATGCAACGGTGCTGCAACCTTCGAGAATCCTAGCACAAATTTACGATAGTAGGAGCACATGCCTAGGAATGAGCGGAAGATCTGCACGCGTCCGTGGAATTGGGTACTTCTTGATAGCCTCCACTTTTGCTGGATCCATGTGCAATCCTTCGCCGTCAATGACATGTCCGAGAAACTCCACTTTCCGTTCAGCTATAACACACTTCCTCGGATTCAGTCTTAGTCCTGCTTTCCTCAGGGCTTTGAACACTTCCTCCATTACTTTTAGGTGTCGCTCAACAGAGTCTGTTGCTACCATTATGTCATCTAGGTAGCAAAACACCTCATCGCCTAGTAACGGTCCGAGAACTATGTGCATAAGCCGCTGGAATACCGCTGGAGATGATGCCAGCCCAAATGGCAACACTCGAAATTGGTAGAGTCCTTCGGTTGTGGTAAACGCGGACTTCTCCTTAGCATCTTGCGAGAGGCTAATCTGCCAGTACCCTGACGAAAGATCAAGGGTGGAGAACCTTGTTTTGCCTTTTAAACTCTGCAAGATTGTATCAATGGTTGGAAGCGGGTAACTGTCCGTCTTCGTTACCTGGTTCACCTTCCGGTAGTCCACGCACAACCTTAACGTGCCGTCTTTTTTCTGGACCAATACAATAGGAGATGCCCAACTTGAACTGCTGGGTTCAATCACTTTTCTCCCCTGTAGGTCGCTTAGTATTTGACGGAGTTCTACTCGGGTAGATAGCGGTATCGGACGTGCTTTTTGCTTGATCGGCTTTGCATCACCAGTTTCAATCGAATGCTCGACTAGTGTAGTTTGGGTCAGTTCTTGCTCACTGACAGCAAAAACATCGCTGTAGCTCTTCACAAGGGTATCCATACCTTCTTCTTGCTTCCCACTCTTATTCTCGTACAACAGTCGCAGCAGTTTTTCTTCCCGGTTTTTGATCACATCGGCCGTACGCTCGAGCATATCACCGTAACACTTCACGGGCTCTGCTTCGCGTATCTTGACCGGCTCATAGGTGCCTACCTCCTCCCCCTCCCGAAAAATTTTTGCTCCTGCAAAGTCGTTGGTAACGGGGATTTCCAGGGAGTGGCTTGCCTTGTGACAAATAATATTCGGTACTAAACTGCATTTTGACCAGAGAATCCCTTCTTTCCCGGATTCAGTACACTGCACAGGAAGCAATTTTGTTTCTCCTGGTCGAAGGTATGTTCGTTTGCTGACAACGACTCGTTCACTAGTCGGCAATTTCTTCCGTTTTGTGCGCGTATTGCGCCTGAGTTTTTCCTCGATGGGGCTGGATTGTGCTGGCCCGAGGTGTTGCTTGCGGGTATGACCCTTTGTACCCTTCGTAATTAGGCTGACTCCGAGAGCTCGCAGGGCGTTAGTTCCCAAAACTAGTGTGTCGTCTCCTCCAGCCTTTACGAACAACGCAACTCGACGCTTCTCGCCTTCCTCGAGTTCCAACGTCAACCTCACTGCTCCCTCGAACTGCATTTTGTTGCCAGAAGCATCCAAGATTGGTGCTTGGTTTTCCAACGGAAATTGCTCAACGTCTTCGTCGAGATTGAAACCAGATGCTTGGCCTGCTCGCAGCATTTCGAGCGGTATTATGCTTATCTGTGATCCAGTGTCTAGGAGCGCTGCTCGTGTAAGTCCTAGTAACTTCACAGTAGCCGTAGTTCGCTCCCCTACTAGACCTTCACATTTCGAAGACGCTTTATGCTCTAGATCTAGCCGTTTTCCGAAGGTCGCAGTGAAAACGCGCGGTTCGTCTGGTGGGGCATCCTTGGTTGTTTTTGGGCCCATTTTCGACTTAGGCCCTTGCCCATTAGTTTTCTTGCAATCCCGTGGAAAATGGCCGTACTCATTGCATTTGTTACATTTTGGCACCCGTCTTTGGCTCATTGGCACCTTATACTCTTTATTCTGAGTGGTCGTGGGCGCAGGTAGACTCTCTTTTTGTCTGAACTGTGGACGATTCTTTTCCTCAGTTTTACGTTCTTCCGGAATAGAACGACGCAGCTTGGAGGCATCCAGCGTCTTTTTAGTTGCGGTCGCGAGTGCTCTGCTACGCTCACACCTTTGCGCCATTGTTTTGACCATTTCGTACGCCTGCTGTTTTGGTGCTACTTCCATGGTCGTGTACAGCTGAAGATATTCTGGCCAATTCGATAACTGAGCGACCAGTTCCGAGGCCCGTGTACGCGACAGCTCCTGTTCAGAAGCTTCAGGGTAAGCTCTTTGCGTGAGTTTTTCTAATTCTACGCAATAGCTTGTCACGTCCCCCTCCATGCGTAACGTCTTCAGCTTCATGTAGGCGTTCATTTGTGTTGAGGACTCATTCTCTTTGAATTTGTCCTTCAGAGCCTCGACTATGGCTTCAAAACCTGCTGCTCTAATAGACCTGGGTAGCGCCTCTGCCACGGACCGAGAGGAACCCATCCAGTTTTGAAAGTAACAAATGCACCAGCATGTCGTCATCTAATCTCAGCCCTTGGTACTTCAACCTAAATTGGGCGAGAAAATCCCCGAACTCCCTTCCATTCGGGTCATTATATGTATTCACGTCGGGCAGGGTCAACGAGGCGAACATACGAGCTATTTCAACCCCTTGTATTGAACCCAACGGAAATTGATTACACTCACCTTGGAGCCTGGCAGTCTGTGCCGTCTGTGTCCAAGGAGATTCCCTTTGCCTCGGCGGCGGCTTGTTCATCTTTTCGAGCTGAAATATGTCATTTTGTTCGGTGGACGGCTCCTTGCCTAAGCCTCGAATTCGAGTTTGTGTGTCACGCTCATGCTCACCCTGTGCGGCAGCAATAGGGTCGAACGTGGCGAGATAGTCTGTATTAAACTCGAAGCGGTTGAGCTGCTCGATTACCGCGGGGGACGACGCTGCCGGCTGTGGTGGATTCTGAATGGATTCAAATTGAGTAAGTGGTGACACTGCTTTACTATGTGTTGGTTTTGGTGAATCTTTTTGTATGAGTTCACTTTGTCTGAGTTTGAGTTGTGTCTGAGTTTGCTTTCACTTTGTCTACCACTTGTGTCGTGTCCACATGAAGCAGCTGCGCTAGTTCGCGCATGCAGCAATCGTCGTGGTCCGCTTGTGCTACTAAGTCTACCAAAGACACTGGGACCATTTTGTCTACGAGCGCGTCCACTGATAGCAGTCGTTCATAGATGAAGTTTAATTTGGAAAGTTCTCCCTCCAAAACCTTAAAATCTCGCTCGAAAAGAGTTTTTAGAATTTTTTCAATTTTTAGTGTAATGTCGTGAGGAACGCCTTCTTTTATGCGGCCTGACACGGTTTCGGGTAAGTCTCGCAAAGTTTGCACTTTATCTAACATAATATCGCGAGACACCCGTACCTGGAGTGCACTTTTGTGCGCTATCTCCTTCACCGTGCCGACAAGCGTCTCCATAGAGGCCTTCAACGAAGCTGCTGGCTCCGTGTCTGCCGGTTCATCGAGCAACAGGCGCTCTATTTCCGCCATTTCAGCGTCCTCCATAGGTTCATTCTGCTCAGTCATATCGCTTCTGAAAAATTATGTGGTTACTGTAAGGCTCAAATCCCCCTTGTTATTGCTAAGACGAGCGATACAGTACACCAGTCAAAACAACAGTTATATCCGGTCAATATTTTCGAAGCTCCTAATCTGTTTTGATTTTTGTGCAGATGAGCGTTGCGAAATCTTGCACCGTTTCTCTGCTGTCGATTGAAATCAATCGATATGACAGCGATCTGCTCGAGATTCCCCTCGAGACAGGTCTTCACACTCGCGAGGAGATGGAGGATACCGTACTCACGGTACGCACCTCCTTTCCTCGAAGTGCTGCTCACTGCCTTTTATTATGGCAGGGATCTCGCCTTCCGGTTTCCCGGCTTTTGGCGGCTGCTCCAGTCGTTTCCTTCGGTTCGGCCCCTATGTCGGGTCCGGTCTCGCTTGTTCTGTCGTCTAGGGGTGT